GGAGCCGCGTGAGCCTAATGAGCCCAGGTTGCCGGGCCCTGGTCTACAGGTCCTCAGTTTTCACTATTGCTATTGGCATCTTGAATGGCATCGTCGTTGTTCGGACGTTTTTTGGAGGATTTGTAATTATTGATAGCCCTACTTAAAGCTGAATTTAATTCCTTGTCCTTTATTTCAGGCTTCCCTTGAATTCGAGCTTCTTCTGCTAATTAAGCTGAAAATTATTACACAAATCATTACAAAATCATTCGTCATTACAAAATATTACATTATCATTACAAAACAGTACCTTTTATACACTTCCACAACTGTAAATCAATTATCAGTGCTTTTCCTTCTGTTTTTTGCAGTATAATGTTCGAGAATATTTTTATTCATCAGACTTCTGAGTATCTTTCCAATGCTGTATTGCAGTTTAGCATTGAGGTTGATTCGTGTTTTTAAACCATCGCACTACAACCGAAATAAACAATAATGTACATAGTATGTGAATACTATTTTGAATTTGAATATTATAGTTAATATTATTTTGAATTGAATACTTACCACCAAATTGCGATATTCTGGATCATCTCGAAGCAAATCATTGAAGTTCGCAAATTCTTCCAGAGTGTCACAGAAGTATTGATGAGGATCTACTGTTGGACCTCGATTCGCAGGCATAATAACAGCCTCAGCATTCTGTAGTTTTATCTCATTAATCCCCGCAAGAACTCGGACTAGCTGTGATTGAATCTGACCCACCGCTGTTGTCAAAGATCGTTCATGTTTGTCGATACATTGTAGACGAGCGTCCTCCATCTTCTTGACATCCGGATCACGAATGAGCGAGGTTTCACTAATCATGGAATGAGATGCACGTGAGAAATCACGCATGGTTTGCCTCCTTGATGGAATAAAGCTGCTATCTTTTAGTTTAGTAGACGTTGGCGTGGTCTGCTTATTTTTTGAATGATTGGTGGTTTTTAAACAGCTGGAATTTTTCGTAGGAGATTGGAATGTAGTCCTTGGAGACCTTAAGTCTCTTTGTGGAGAATGGGACATAGTGACTGAGCTTCTTGGACAAGTCTTAGATGTGGAGAGCTCATTCATCTTGTTTGGGCCGCGAACTGGACCTAGAATTTCAAAAAATGCTAAATTTGTCGAGATGAAGGATGATATCGTTTTAATATTATTGTAATTTCAAATTAATGACAGCGACCATACAATTGAAAAAAGTCCATTCACTCACATGCATTTTTCTTCCTTAATAACGAACCATGGCGGTCGGCATCGAGCTTAGAGTTTAAATTTTGCAGAGAAGAAGCAGATCTGTTCTTTAACCTTGAGCGGGACTCAAGCTTTCGCCTTGAACGAAAGTCAGGAGAAACTATGAGGTGATCCAATCGAGAACTTATGAATAAATAACCCTAATTTTTCCATAAATTGAATAATTATTATTCTCACCATCACTATCAGAATCGACTCCTGACGATAAAGATTTGTCAGTGTCTGTAACGACAGCAAAAAGTTGCAGCGACCGAAAATGCCCATTACCTTCGCCCTTCCTCCCTCTGACCTCCTCGCCGATACTAAACTTAACAAAAATCGGGACCTAAAA